TGCAATACATATATATAAATAATAATATAGACATACAACCACCCTTACAACACCTACATACCACCACTACACACATACCCCACAACCGCATAACACACAACCTAATCAAAACCACATCACTAAATACTAACTTCGCCACAACCACCACAATTATACAACATACTATAAATATAGTATAATATAATATAGAATATATAGTTACCAATACCCCCCTTAACGAACTTCACACTATGCAAACACATACTTATATAAAGTAAGTAAAACACACTATATATTAAGCTGATATTAATATAATATATATAATACTAACACCCTATACTAAAAACACAGACATATACAAATAGTAACGCGCCTTGATATATATACGTTTAGGTATAATTAATGGGTGTGTGTGTGTGTAAGTTCAGTGTGTGGTGTGCCCTTGGGATGTTTGTATGTGTGTGTGTGTAGTGTGTGTGTGATGTGTGTGGTGCGTATGTGTCGTGTGTGTGGTGTAGTGTGATATGTACATACTCGTATGTATAATAATCATGCTATATTACCTATACAATTTACATAATAGATATAACTATATATATACTAAAGGTATACCTAAGACACTACATGAAATTATCATACATATAGATAATATATATATATTAATAAATACAACCCTCACACCTACCCATTATAACCCAAAACAAAATATATATTATATATGTGAATGTTGTGTGTGTGTGTGTTGTGTGTGTGTGTGTGTGTAATATATATACATATATATATACCATATATATATATGTACTAATATATATAGTATAATATATATATATAATATATATATATATCCGCTAACCTACTATATGATGTGTGGTAGTGTGTGTGCGTAGTGTCCCCCAATGCTGCTGCCCCCAACCACCCCCCCACCGCCGCCGCCCCCGCCCCTCCCCACCCCCCACACCCCCCCCACTGTTCGTGTCGCTCGTGCTGTGTGTAACATTACCCATCCTACACCCGTGAACTACTACACTACAAAAGTTATAAATATCACCATAACTATATACTACCCTATATAACCATACCTACCCTATACGACTATACCGCCTACGAACTATATACTAATACCTTTAAATATATATAAAAGAATCTAAGAACCGCTATATATTGTCGAGGGTTGTCATAGGAAGATTAAAGGCTATACGGTACTCAGATGATTAATATTTCCATATACATAACTCATAACTCTATAGCAGTAAATATGTCACCTCTCTACTGAAACGCACAATAAATATGTAATACTATATTTAGAATCTAATATTACACGGCTGAGCATTCTCATTGTGTAACTAACTATCAATATGGATGTACGAGTTGTTTGTCTCGTGTATCTGAAACTCACACATGTATGTTTAACATATCGTCACACATTCAATGAGACGAAACACATATATAATTATTGCATATAGTAGGTAGGAAAATATATTATATCATTAGATTAGAAAATATGTGACCCATATTCTTTAATCCATATTAACAATGTAGCTATATTATTTATTGCACGATATAATATGTATGAATGGATAATATAAAATAATGTTATCATATGTTTAATATGAATTATATTTATGTATGTAGGTTATATCTATCTACCTTAGGATATCGTGAGTGACGACGTACAATAAAATACTGTATTATTAATATCGTATAGTAAAGAAAAGCACACCGAAGAATAAGATATATATACATATACAATAATAATATAATATATATAATGAAAAGTACAAAATAAATATAATGATTCAAATAAACCAACCCAAACAAGACAAAAAAGATGAAATCAAAATAGAAACAAATAACCCAGGATAATAATACGCCAAAAAAAGACCATAAAATATAATATATATATAAATCAAATATAGAGTAATAATAATAGTAATATATGGAACACCACACACACACACACATTCTATCAAATAAAAAATAGCCTTATATATGCCTAATACCTACTCACATAAATACATTACCCTATAGTATATATCGATAAAGTAAAGTTGGTGAAAGAGCGATATGTGAAAATGGTGGTTAAAATAAATATGAAAATGGGAACTATGTCTGCTGGTTTAATTCGGAGGTAAAAGTGTGACCCGGGAGCGCGAGGGTGAGCATGCGGGAAAGCCACCAGATGGACCGTCTTGACGCTTCCCGCGACCTCGCCCAATGCGAAAGGTCCTTGCAGGCTCCTGCCTATCTGGTGCTCTCATATGCCCTCTCTGGACGTACCTCACCTAAATAGTCAGCGACTCCTTGTAACCCCGGAACCATCCTGCTGGCGCCCACGCGTGCCTCGCCCTTACCTATTCTTTGGCTGTCCCACTTCCTCCTCGCAAGGGCGTCGACCAAGAAAGGCTTAGGCTCGACACTGAAGAAGAGTCTATCGGCTGCGCAACGAAGGTCTGAACAACGTCTGTATTCCTTCTGTGGCTGAGAGTGGAAGTGTCACTCACCGCTCCCGTTTCGACCGTTGGGAGGGCCGCCCCCCTGAGTCCACCTCTGTTAAGACGTGCGCGCCAAAACCCAAACTCCACGTACAGAGACATCCATCCCTGTTACGCGTAAACTACCTACTATAATAATATACCTAAATACTATATATAAGCATATACTAACCTACCAACTACACGGGATATGTGTCATGTGCCTACGTGTGGTGTGTGTGCTTTGCTGTGGTGTGTGTTGTGTTGTCAGTGTGTGGTGTGTTGATGGTGTGCGCTGCTGTGTCGTGCTGTGTGTCGTAGTGTCTGTGTGTGTGGTACCTAGTGTGCTGTTGTGTGTGTAGTGCACATGTGTGTGTGTGTGTGTAAAATATAATCTATTCAAAACATTTTTCAAAAATTGTTTGAATGGCAAGTAAAGAACTCCACAGAGTGAGTATTGAATAAGGGACACCAGTTGCTGTAATATCACTTACGATTTTTTTTACTGAATAGAACCGCACTGATGATTCAAGTCCGACAACATAATATAATTTCCCTATTCTCGCCATATTGCCCTCAGATACACACGCTTCACTCACCTCACTTCGCACCACACACACCAACACACCACACACCACAACACCAAAACCAACCCCTCCCCACTTAACCCCCCGAATTCCATGTATATACTATCAATCTGTTTCGGTACTTTAAAACTACCCATTCAGAGCTTAAAGAATCACTAGTAATCTCAACATAGTTCACTAATCCGGGAAATATATTTTCCCATTCAATTTCTTTTATTTTCACGCGCTTCCTCTGACCAATAGGTATTTTGTACAATATATCAGGTACTCTAAAGAAAAAATGTGACCTGAGGTATTGTATATGCCATTAACAATCGGAAATAGGATTTCGCAAGTTTAACCAATGATTAGGTATCCCTCTCCGTGTACTGACTTTGCCCTTGAATCTCGCTACTCTGGAGCTCCTCGCTCTCCTCTCCTATCTCTCGGTCCTCTCTCGATCTCGCGGTCGGTCGGTCGATCGTACGTCGATCGTACTGATCTCGTACTCATCATCTGTACGTGCTATTTGATATAATATTATTCCTCTTCGAAGAGAGGAGAGAGAAGCGATCTCTCTCACCGGTCTCTGTAGACTTCTCTTTCTCTTTCTGACGAGAGACCCACCCACGACCGAGCCACCCTCTTTGCATTCGATCTAGCGCTCTCCTTCCTCCCTGCATCTCTCCGTCTTCTGTATCTGACCTATCGATGTACTTGCACGATGAGGTGCTGGCCCCCACCCCCGCCCAACCCCCTCCTTCGATCTCTCGCTCTCCCTCCCTCCGCGCTCTGCTCGTCTTCTGACTCTCTCTCTCTCTCCTCTCGCTCTCTCGCTCTCTGGCTCGTCTCGGTCTCTCTCTCTCTCGTCTACCTCTCTCTCGTGCTCACTCCTGCATGCTCTTGCAGATCTGCTCTCCTCTCTCTCTTCTCCCTCCGCAGACCCCCTCCATCTTCCTCATCTTCCTCTCTCTTCTCTTCCTTCTCCCTCTCTCTCTGCTCTCTCCTCCCATCTCTCTTCTCTGACTGCGTATGACATCTCTCTCTCTCTTCGACCGACTCGCTCTCCCTCCTCCGACCCACCCCGTGTACTTCTCCTGCAGTCATCTCTCTCCCTCTGCTCTCTTCCTCTCTCTCCTCTCTCTCTCTATTCTCTTCTTGCGACGGAGCGTTCTCTCTCTCGACCGATCTGCTCACCCTCCCCCCGCAAACTGAGAATAGAGAGAAACCCGAGAGATAGATAGAGAGAGAGAGGAGAGAGAGAGAGGAGGAGAGAGAGAAGGAGATGGTGGCGAGGGAGATGGAGGGAGAGAGAGAGAGAAGAGAGAGAGGAGAGAGAGAGTGAGAGAGAGAGAGAGAGAGAGAGAGAGAGAGAGAGAGAGAGGGAGGAGAGAGAGAGAGAGAGAGAGAGAGAGAGAAGAGAGAGAGAGAGAGAGAGGAGGGAGGGAGAGCGAGAGAGAAAGAGGGGTGGCGGCGGTTGGGAGAAAGAGAAAGAGAGAGATACAGAGACGGAGAGAGAGGGAGGGAGGGAGAGCGAGAGAGAAAGACTGGGAGAAAGAGAAAGAGAGAGATACAGAGACGGAGAGAGAGGAAAGCGAAAAGAGATAGAGAGATAGAGAAGAGAGAGAGGAGAGAGAGAGGATGAGAGAGAGAGAGAGAGAGAGGAGAGAGAGAGAGATAGAGAGAGAGAGAGAGAGATACATCTATATTTATATATATACACACACACACACATTTGTATATGAATATAGATATAAAAGAAAAAATGTATATACAAATATATAGAAATATACTTATCTATTTTTTTTCTTATTCATTTATCTATCTATGTATCTACAATATCTATACTGTAGCTATATCTGTCTATCTGTCACTCTACTTGCGACAGATGTGTGTGTGTATGTGTGCGTGTGTCTGTGTGTGAGCGTAGTTGGGTGCCTAGGAGGATACAAGTGAACCATTTTCTTCCCTCTCTTTTTCCCAGATGTCCTCCGTGTCCCTGCAGGAGCTGTGGTGCCAGTGCCAGGGCAACGCCAGCGCCACGCCTCACCTGCTGACCATCCAGCAGAAGATGCTGCAGCTGCACGAGGAGGCCCAGAGTCACGTGGTGTGGTACGTGCTCGCCGTGCTGGCCCTGTACCTGCTCGGCCTCGCCCTCATCATCGGCACCTCCGCCCGCTCCGAGCGCCTCAACGCCCACGCCGCCCTCTGCTTCTGCCTGCGCCGCTTCCTCTCCGCCGTCATCGCGCCCGTCAGCAGGCAGGGCGAGCGGCAGCAGCAGGAGAACCCGAAGAACCCGAAGAACCCGAAGAACCCGAAGGCCCTCAGTTCGCCGAGCAAAGGACGGTCCTCGATCAGCGTCGTTTCCAGGCCCTCGCTCGATGCCCATTTCAGGTGCAATTCTTGGCCGCCCGAGAGAGCGCCGAGGGGGACGGTGCCGCTGTGGTGATGCCCCTGAGGTGATGCCCCTGGGTGATGCCCTGTGGTGATGCCCCTGAGGTGATGCCCCTGAGGTGATGCCCCTGTGGTGATGCCCCTGAGGTGGTGCTTCTTTGGTGGTGATGTCCCTGGTTTAAGGCATTGCTTGTACCGCATCAATAGCCTTAAAACGTTGCTCTAGAAGTATTAATATTTAATCATCTCTTAATTTCATATTATTTATACTTAATTCGCTCATATCTCCTGTCAGGGAACACGTGTATATTGCAAAGGGGAATCCAGTTGCAGCATGACCAAAGATGGTTCTCAAAGGCCCCTTATTAATAAATATGATACTGATCCAA